TGCGAAGTACAGAAGCAGTGAAATAGGACACTTCAGTTTCATATGTTTCAACGTGAAAATAGTCTACATTTTAACAATCTACATTAGGAAAACTATAAAACATAGTATAGCAATTGAGTAAATTGTTGCTTTTACTTATTAAAAAAGTCTTCTAATTTTATTTTTAGAATTTCTAGGCTTCTTCCCTGCAACCCTCAGTTTTTCCAGCTACATTATTATTATATCATCATTTTCCAGATACACTATTATTCTATTTACACAGAAGTTAAAATGTGTGCGTGTGATAGAAAATTCTGTAGACAAAATCCCTGGTTATATAGAAAATGACAATAACCTCTATTATTTTCAGAGGAAAACAGCTCACAATCTAAATACCATGTTCTTGTAAATAGTCTGTACATTACTAAATAATAGGGCTTACAATCATTGTCTGGATCTCACAAATGACTGCAAAGAAAAAAAAACAGAGCCCTATTGATTCACATGCATGGAGTCCAAGAGTCCACCCTGGCAGTCTCTTTGTGATTAATATCAAGACCACAGAAAGACCCACATTTGCTTATATTATTATTATATTCACCATCATACCATAAAATATGAAAACTGAAGGGATATTTACAATCCACTTAATTATTACAATTGTTGCTGCTTCTTGTTTATTACAGTTCCTCTTCCCTTACATTTTCTTTTCTGTTCCTTTTCCATTTTAGCCCAGAAGTCTATTCAGCCACGTCTGGCTTACAGTCAATTATGCCTTCTTGTTTCATGCTGCTGCTTTGTGGCTTTCAGAAACTGGGAGATGCATATATTTATTGCAAAACAACTTCAGTTCAAGGAAAATAGTAGAGCCAATTCTAGCTGTTTTAAATTTTCTAAAATCAGTATCATGTCAAAATCCACATTCCCAGCTACATCCGAGTTGAGTGCCCCTTTTTCAGCAAAAAACTTCTCTGTAGCAGTGTTAATGCCTTCCCACATGCCATTTTAGCCTAAGCACAGTTTTGACTCAAAACAATGCTGAAAGATAATGGTTATGTAAAAACCCGCAAAAATGTGTTAATAATAAATAAGCCAAAACAAAAAGCTAAACACTGGATACAAGAGATAGAAATCACATTTTTTCCATTAATACATAATTTCAGTGCAAAAGCCTCTATTAGTAGGCATGCCAGTCTGAAAAATAAACTCTGCATTCAGATTATACGCACAGGATATTTTCATATGAAATTATGAACAGTGCATTTTTATGCATTTCTGTGAAGAAACACCACTTCTGCTTTAAGACAGACTCAGTCATAAAGCATTTATGCTTTTTGTCTCACTGATTGCATTGCTAAATGAAAGGACAGCAAAGTGTTAAAGTCTACTCTCTGCAGAGGTCTTCATAGTTCGAGTGGGACAGAAGCCTTTTACTTCCTCCTGCGTGGGGGTCAAATGAATTCACAATACTTGATTCATCGCACAGATCTGAAGAACAGAGGCCAGGCAGGTTGAATTTCCAGTAATTTGCACAACCTAGCATATTGGCCCCAAACTCTCATCAGTATTCAGCAACCAGAGTCCAAAAAGGTCTCTGTATGCAGGGTACACTGACAATGCACTATGCAGTGTCAAAAGTGCATTTTCTGATTTTGCTCAGAACTTGACAACAGTGGAATCATTTATCTAATTTCTGTTTCGAGGGAGAGAAGTTGCTGTTAGCAAAAAAGACTGTGCAAACTCCTAGGTGGACCAGAAACCCACTGCAAGAGGGCATGTAATCTTGTTAGTTATTAATCGTACAATACCATAATAGAAACAGTACTGTTCAATTAACAGAAATGATTGTTTCCTGTCTGACAACCCTCGAGCCTAAAAACTCCTCAAACAATCAACATGCACAAGGACATCTCATCTAACAAATATGTTACAGAATCTGATCCTGAATTACACATTACACAGAAGTCATAGCTTACAACAGCAGACAATTGTAGAGTTGATTATCCTGTGCTTACTCTGTTAATTATTGTTTTTTAAAATATTTTTAAATTTTACTATATTAAAATGTAGAGTCAGTGTCCAAATTAAAAAGGAATGCTCAAAGGTAAGTATACATACAAGACAGCCTACCTCATAGTTTTTCATTGTTGTTTTGCAAATTCGGAACAGGACAGCCAAGAACTACCTTTTTCTGGTTTGGCAAACTGTTACAACACTGAAAGCCAGTATTTTGTTTTACCATAGATGGCTTGGGTTGGAAGGAACCTCAAGGATCATCAAGTTCCAACCCCACTGCCACCAACTCTGGATCTGGCACTAGACAAGATTGCCAAGGACCCCATCCAACCTGGTCTTGAACACCTCCAGGGATGGAGGTATTATGCCACGTGAGTTACAATCAAGAACAAATATGGAAAGGAATTGTGGAGATTCAATCAAGATAAGGTTGAATATTCATGGTTTAACTATCAAGTTGGAGCAGTGTCTGAAGTCCAGACACTGCCAAGCATTTAGGCACCTGGCTCTCCGTGAAAGCAAAGGGTATTATATCCCTTTAAAAATTTGTTTCTTGATGCCATAAAGGGAAAGAGCTCACTGCACAAAAAGTTTCTGCAGATTCACAAAAAAAGTAAAATTTTGAATTTATCTCTGAAATTTGCTCTACAATCAACTGTATGGCATTTTTGCATATAGGTCTCTAGTTTGCCTGATGTAATTATGTGGCTCAGCTATCACCAATGAAATGTTATAATGTAGGTCTTCTATTAAATAAGAAAAATAGACAGTAGACAGATGCCATCATAAAAAGACGGAACAGGCTCATTTCCTGAAGTTTATTTCCTTTTTGTAACAAATATTTACTGTCAAATGTTTATTACTTCTACATTTAGATTTTTTTAAATACTTTATTGAATTAAAAATACCACATTACCATTGGCTAAAAGAGGAGACAGCTACATTTGCCAATAATTTCTACAGCTAATGCCAACGACTAGTGCCAATTTTTTTCTTGGTTCATATTTTTGTAGACAGCTTTGAGACTTACAATACAAGCATTCTGCAGATGAAGCATGAGAAACACAAAGGTGAAAAGAAAAAATCTTTTAAGATCTAAAAATTTAAGATGATCATTTCCTCAAGAGAACTAATTTCATTGCCTTCAAACTCCATTTCGGAGCAGCATAACAGGATGCAATTATTTATGTAAATTTATAGCATGTGCCATAATTGATACAAAGCTTCATAGTGTGAATATTAACTCTAATACACATTTGATAGAGAAAAATAAATACTTGTAAGTGTTTGTAAGCTCTTTTTAATTAGCAGAAGTTTTACAAGGCTTTTCTTTAGAAACCACTGAGGGTTTAGGAAACATCCTTTTTGAGCTGAGATTCTGAGGCAATGATGGAAGGAAAGAACACAGCTTTTACTGTGTTCTAAAGAAGTCGAGTAACAAGACAGGTTAAAAATCATGGGAGACGCAAATACCTGCTGTCTATATCTTGCAGAGAGGAACAGCACCTGTTGGTTTGTTATTCTGGCAAGAAATTTGTTCCTGGAACAATTCCAGACTGTACTGGTGGACATGCATGAGAAATGTTGACCACCTACCAGTAGGCTGACATTCTTCTTACCCATCAGCCAATCCAGAAACAGAATGTGTTTGGGTTTTTTTCAGTCACAAGGAAAATAGTGAATATCTGTTCCAACACTAATCAAACTTTGTGACACCCACACAAGTGGAAAAACTTTAACTATCCTGGGTAGATCTGGGATTATCTTTACAGACCTAAATTCTAACATTTTGCTTCTAGTTCGGTAGTCCCAGTGGTCTGCATTTTCTTGATGGATCTGGAAAATAGAATCTCTCCGGATTCTTTTCTTATTGTTTTAAAATTAGCTTGCTTCCAAATCCAAAACAAATAAAACAACAAATTTGAAACTAAGACCATGTTCCCATGATTTGCACATTTTCAACAGTTTTAGTCATTTGGCACTTAGAAACCTCAGTTATCGCTGATTATTATTTTCACTGTTAGAATGGTACTAAAGGACAATTTACAAGTGGCTAATTACTGACAGCAAGAAACCTGACTACTCTATACCTATCTAGGACAGATTGCTCCCAGCTGGCACTGGTTACATGATACAGGGCTTCATGACTTTCTTTTGGATATTTCTGAGGCCATGATGGAAGTCTTTTTCTAGTCCCTATTTGAAGTGAGATGTAGACAAGCTCTGGTGCGAATACAAGACATCTAATTACATGTAATACTTTAGGAAGAATTTAGTTGTCTAAATTGAGAAATTTAGACAAAAGAAAAAAGTAAGAAAAACCAGTTAGGAAAGTCAGGCTGCCTCATCTCAAATACAATCTACTTCTAGAAACACCAAAAATCACTGTTTCTATTATGCTGCCCAGCCATATGATACAAGCCATGTTGCACCCAAAGTCTGACTAAATATCAATTTGCTTAGAAAACACATAGGAAGGAGCTTGATTCTGCATAGACATTTAAATGATACCATAAAGGGAGCAGTCATTAATACTTCCTTTGCAAGGAATTAGAGTCAGCTTATAAGGACACTGTAATGGTCCAAAGGTGAGGTCTACTGAAAGATCCACACAGACATCTAGTAGGGAGCTTTCCTGTGAGAAGATACTTTAATCTCAGCTAAACTATCAGGAAAATAATCTCTATTGAGTTCTTCAGAGAAACAGTGTTGAAAGGGAAGAGTGCCTAAATTAAGAATGAGTACAAACAAAAGCTCTTCTGTATCTGCTATGGGACATTAACAAGACCGTGTGGGGAAAAGAAGATGACTGCCGAAGTATGTATGTGCTGTTGACATGAAAACCAATGGAAGTTTGTCTATTGATTTTGTATCAGCAGTACTAAATATTCTGAAAATCCCACTACAATTCTGAGGAAGGCACAGACTCCTTCACTTCCTTAACATTTAACAGCTATATTTCCACATCCCAACCTCATTTCCAGATATACTCCATGAGCTCTTACCTCCATATTTTTACAGAATGTAGCATTGGTCCCAAAGAGGATCTGGCACTGTTCGTCGGCACTGTAGTGCATTCCTGGCAGCTTGTGAGGGAGCCGCACTGCATATTGGCTTCGGGGGTCTGTTACTAGTAAACAGGTGCTGACCTTGGACCTGTGGAGTGAGATAATTAAACATGCCTTTAAGGGAAAGCACCTTTGAACTGGAATGTTAGATCACTGCTATAGAGCAGCTGTTGTCCTGTCTTTAATAGGGAATCTGATGACCTTGTGCGAAATAGCGATGATTTTCCCAATATCTTTCTGGAAGCTGAATCATTAAACTTATTAATAGAAAGGTTCTTGAGGACTCATCCTCCACCTCAGGCCTTGAAGCAGAATACACTGCATTCACATTATTCTCTGTAAATATTTGTCTGAAATCTGATGAAGACTCAATTCTGCCCTTAGGCTAAAGCCCAGTAGCTTTACAAGCCTTACAAAGATCACTAGAAAGGCTTCTGTCAAGTCTTACCTGAATCCCTCTAGCTGAATTTTAAGCCCTTGACTTCTTATCTAGCACAGAAATAAAGGAAAGATTTTTGCCTTTGTCTTCAAAACAATTTTTGACAAACTGGAATATCTTTGAGTCATCTTCCCTCTGTCAGGGACTAGAGTGAGTTCAGATGCAACTTCTTTTTCAACTTTACGCTTTAATGTAAACATGGATATCTCATTTTCTCTCATTATTTTCCTTTCACTTCCACTTCTAATTTTCCATGCTGAATCCATCCCTAGCAATAAAGGCACTAGCTGCTTTCAGAGTTTAACTGTATGTGTAAGACCACAATGAAAGAGTACAGTGCAATCCTTACTTTAGGAAGTTTTCAAGGTCATCGCGACTGCATGAAGACCAGGAGAGGTCACTGGGGTTCCTGCCCTTGACCCATTCTCCAGACATAATATGAGACCTCCCTGCACAGGGAGGATGGTCGTCATCATGGCTCATTCCCATGCTGTTTAATTTAAACAAAACAAGAAAAATGTCTATCAAGTTATCACGTAGGACATTTTCAAATCTCACAGCACTTATCAGAGTCAGGAAGAGGCTGCACAAGTAATGTAGAAATATTCACCTAATGATGGAAAATGTCTCATGAATAAACTATAGAATTGTTTATATTTTTTTATAATTGTATAGATATGTGCATATATATGTATATATATAAAATATATAAAATTAAACTATAAATGGAAGGTTCCTTCAATTTATCCACTGCCTTTACTTCACCCCGGTTTTAATATTTGTTTGCTGGAAGTTTTTAAATGGCTTCACATAGATTTTCCTACTAGAAATTAAAACTACTTGTGGGTTCATGAAGAGTGAACCTGGATGTAACAGATCTGAAGGATATCTGCTAGAACATCAAATTTACTGAAAATTTGGAATCTCTTTCCCAAATCTAGTGGATATGACTCATATGACCACACTGATAAAATGGTCAACAAACTAATACTAGAGATGGGCCAATTTTGTTGCGCTCTCAGGGTAAATCTGCAGCAAAATCTCTCTTAAGAAAGATTTCAGTAACTTTGTGGCATTACACCATCTCTCTCATCTAAGTCTGAAGTGTCGAGTTTCTGTTTAGATCATACGATCTCCATTGGCCTTTCTGTCCTAAGTTATTCTGTGTCTCTACGACGACTGTAACAGCAAAGCTCAGGTAGGAGCCCAAATCAGAATCAAGCTCCTATTTTTGCAACCGCTGTCCAAACAAGCACAAAGACTGCCCCATGCCAGCAAGAAGAGAATGTAACCTACTCAGCAAAACAAGCAATCTAAACAAACAATATGAATGGTGTAGTATAAATATACTCAAATACATTCACTGAGAATTTTAGTATTAGTATTGTAAAACAGAAAAGTCTTACTTTAAAAGTTCTCTCCACCCTACCCCTCAGGACTCTTCTGCCATTAGAGATGTCTACCATGGGCTGTTCAGAGGACTTCAACTCTGTTGTCTTTCTAGGAAGGTGAATCATCCTCTGGATGAGGTGAGCCTCCAGGAACAGCTCCAATGGCAGCAGAGGAGGGATAAATGATGTACACAAGTTCATCTGCTGCCTCAGTGAAGTCAGAAGTCCTAAATGGCAATTCTGCACTCAGTTTATTGTATCATGCTGACCAGCAGCAAAAGAAAGCTAAGGATTTTCCATCCTACTTCGAAACAATCATTAAAATTATTTTTGAAGTTATACAGAATAATAACATTTTGAAATGTTAACATCTTTCCTTTGATTCCAACGTGAAGTGGAAAACAGTTTTCAGACAAAAAGTCTCTCGTTTGGCCAGGATCACATTTTAGCAAAGTAACAGCCACCAGTGTTGGGCCAAAAACAGATTAACAGGAACTCTGTAGGTCTCCAACCTGCTGGATTGAGCAGGACAGAAGCAGTCCCTTAAAAAATGGTATTGGACGCTTTAATATATGTTATTTCTCCAAGGCTCCTGTTTGCTTTCTGACTACACTCTTGGCGTTGCTTCTTTCCATTTTTGGGATTCAACTGTTCAAAGTCTAAACACAACATACATTTCTAGTTGCAATGAACCAAAACCAGCTTCAGCAGCTTGATAATTATGGCTTAGATTAAACCACCAGTTATGCTATTTTTAGCTTGAAGTGAAGATTATACAGCAGTCTATTATTCTAGGTTTATCTCCAGGGACATTATTATTTCTAGCAAAACTACGTTTAACAATTTTTAGACACAGAAGTTCACAGCTATGCTCGTTTTTAAACCTTTGCGGATTTTGAACACAGCAGAAACATTAACATCAATCACATTTTGTTTGATGCAGGCAGAAATAATTTAACAGTCTATTAGTAAGTCTGACTTCAAAACAGCAAAGAGTGAAATTCCTGCTCCGTTGAAGTGAATGGGAGTTTTGCCATTGACTTCAACGTTGCCTGCATTTCACTCCAAGTATTTTACTCATGTTGTTTCTACAAACCGAGAAAACTGTTCACATACTAGGAAGAAAGTTCCTGCAGTATTCCTGCAATGCAAATAAGCCCGCGTTACTGAACTTGAGGAAGGGAAGACCTGAACACTATGGAGCAAGTCAGGTAAATTTGTTGGAAGCCCTCCAGACGAAACTTAGCAGAAAAAATGCCAGATCAGAAGGCCTCCTGTAGTCACGATGCAATTGTGTTAACTTTTCTAATGGAAACAAGGCAGGTTTCTAAGGTTTCTGCCAGCTTGCCTGCCTTGTGACTGCCACACTGTTGAGGCTTGAACTTACGTCCCCTAGATTTCTGCTCTGACAAGGTTTCTATGGCATGGGACTCAGCAGTGTATGCTCCCATTCTGGTAGGTCCTTGTTGTCAATTCAGCTGTTCCACATTAAAAAAGGTGGAGAAAAACACATCTTCCCAACTTTCCAATCTGTTTCAGAATCCCTGATTTCATCTTTTCCATGGAAGGCTAGTTTATTTCAGAGCTCCCTAATTAAGAAATGTTTTAGCTTTCTGATTACTCGTTCATTATAATTTGCTAAAAGTGGGATAATTTTGTTGACAAACAACACGGGCAAGTTACTTATTAGCACATATCTGTTCTTATTTTTATTTTAAACCAGAGTTTGTGAAAGATTCCTGCTCAGGAGAAATGCTAAGGCTAATACTCATTGCTCAGATTTGATTTTGCAGGGGTGTTTGACACAAAAAGAGCATTATCTCTAAAAAGACTGAGTCAGGACTCACATCTCAGAGCTATTTACAGGCTTCTTGTGAAATTCTTTCAAGGTTTATTTGTGTGGAAATTGCTGCTTTTCTGAATCACTCCTGATTTCTTAGCAGAAATTCTTTAAAAAGTCGTAAGTGTAGAGGAATTGAGCCTGAGATATTGGTATGAATCAAAGCAGCCCTGCTAAGTCAGAAGAACCACACCAGTTTATATTAGCTTGGGATCTGGCCTCAAGGTATATAAGCAACCTCTAGTGGCCCCTCGTTGATGAGTTTCTGTTAGAATGAAACCAGCAACACCTTTGGAATCTGTTTTAATTGGCAGAGCAGAGCTTTTCCCAGCATCTACTTTACCTTACAATGATTCACTTGAGGAAAGGATTAAATGACCTGCAGGACTAAGGCATCCCCTAGCATGCTAACACATTCTTTTCTGAAGTTCAAGGATCTCTAGTGACATCCAAGGGATCATTTTTTCCTAAATGCATAGTAAATGCAATGCCATGCTAATTCATTTCATTAATATGCTCCCCTGCTTTTAGCAGGGATAAATCAGACAGAGCATTATGCATTTGTACTAAACAACAGTGCAACTGCTGATTCAGTATTCTGCATTTGCTTTGTGATCATCTAATCTTACCTGCTACTCAGAAGATCACGTGGAATTAGAAGCACATAATCAGTCTCTTGTCATGAGAAGGAGTTCTATTCTTACACAAACAGACCATGAAAACAGAGCCAATAAAAATGGCTTTAGATTAGAAGGTTAAAATGGCACTACATAACCTTGGAGACCCTCTGTGCTGTTCAGGTCATTAGCATCCCTTTTACCAAAGGTGGCAAATGCATGATGCATAATACTTTTTACATTGCAAAGCCAGCAACAATTAGAGATGAGCAGGATTCAGTTTCACATTGAGCTCTTACTACCACAGCCATTAAATCCATTCTATGCAGTTAAATGTTGGCCTTTAGTTCATCATGCTCTCCCTCCTGAAGATAATGAGGTTTCACACAGGCAAGCAAGAATGGCTGAGACTGTCAGCTCTTCAGCACGGTCCCTTCATTGTGTATTTATTCAGAGTAAGCACAATAGGACTCTGCTTTCACACTCCAGATTCTCTTCTAATATAAATAACGCAACAATTATCAGTGGAAGACACAAGGTACCACTGATGGAGTCCCACAGCATATTTATTATTGATTACCATACGCGAGTCCAGAAACAAGCTGACTGACCTTAGCTCAGTCTGTTAACATAGTCATGACATGGCAAGCTTTATCCCGAGTCGCTACAAGGCAATAAAACCAAATCTCTTTGAAGCTGTTTTTTGCAGAATGAACTTTGCTATGAATAAAAAATACCATGCAGTCTCTCCATACTCTGGCCTCTCTGAAGCCTGTGCTCCTTTCCAGGACACAGCTCTGTCAGAGTCTACACAGCAATTAGAATTGGGTCAGCATGCCAGAATTACACTCTGGGCCTGAGCTGGCCAACTTCTTGTGTAACTCTTTTTAGCTAAATGCAATTAAGACATTTGTTTTCCCACAGCTAAATAAATGCTAAATAAATGCACTTGCTTTGTTTATTTTGGTCATTAGTAAAGCTTCTCCTCTAGACAGTAAATGTAACTAAACTGTTCTGTTTACCCTTGGTGCTTTTTCCAATGTTTCCTGTTATTTTTTAAAAGCCTGAACTAAAGCCTACCAAAGACTGTGGAAAGCCTTCAATGCACGGTGCACTACACCTCCAAGTTCTTAGGCCATGTATACAAATCTTCATCAGAACCACTATGACTCCCAACAGGTTTCCTATTAAAAGCCCCACATCTGAGTTTAAGAATAATGCCAAAGGCTGAGGGAAACTGATTTAAAATACGCTTTAAATTTTTTAAACAGCTGCACGTTTGTGGCTGGTAACAGACCACTGAAAAACCCCAACGTTTATTGTCTCACAGTCCCCTTCTGGTAGGAAGAGATTATAAAGTAGAGAGAAGACACACAACTTTGATGGAAAACATCATCAGCTGTAAAACAAATACTTTTCTTCAAGTAGAAAGAGGCTGGCAAGGTAAATAATGAAGTATGATGAAGAAAAACCTTAAAAAAACACCCAGAAGTGGAAATACCACGAACTACTACTACTCCCTCTGTTTCAAATAAGCACTTCAGCTGGCTGTTAATAAGAGATTCTCCACAGCCTCTCTGGAAAAGCCAAACCTTTCCATTGGTCTGCACAGAGCTCAGGGTGAGTCAGATGCTGATTCACT